GCCTTTTACACTTCAGGAACTGGAGGCAACGCTTTCAGCTTGCCGATCATCGGCAGCTGGGCCTGACGACATTCATATTCATATGTTGCAACATTTACGTCAGTCAGCCCTTGTAGTCCTCTTACACCTCTTCAATCTTGTTTGAGCACAAGGAGTTCTTCCCCAGCTGTGGAAATCTGCCATTGTTCTCCCTTTCCGCAAGCCGGGTACTACGGGACATGATGCCTCCCACTATCGTCCCATCGCTCTTACTAGTGCAGTTTGCAAAGTGATGGAACGTCTGGTAAATCGATGTTTAATGTGGTATTTAGAGACACACAACAGTCTCTCCACTAGTCAATATGGCTTTCGTAAGAGCCGTTCTACCATAGACCCCTTGCTACGCTTGGATACGTATGTTCGTAATGCCTTTGAGAATAACCACTCGGTTATTGCCTTATTTTTTTGACCTTGAGAAGGCATATGACACAACTTGGAGGTATAATATTTTGGCCCAAGCCCACTCCTTAGGCCTCCGAGGCAATCTACCATCCTTCCTTAAGAACTTTTTAACTGACAGACATTTCCGTGTTCGAGTCAATAATGTGCTTTCCCAGGACTTCGTCCAAGCTTAAGGTGTCCCTCAAGGATGTGTTCTGAGCACAACACTTTTTCTCCTTGCTATAAATGATTTGGCCTCTGTTCTTCCACCCAATATTTGGTCATCACTATGTTGATGACTTCGCTATTGCTTGTGCAGGCGCTGACTGTCATCTCATTACAGTTTCTCTCCAGCATGTGGTCGACCATGTTTCCAATTGGGCCGCCACGCATGGGTTTAAATTTTCCAGTACCAAAACTCACCAAATTACTTTCACTAGACGGTCTGTCATCTCCGATCATCCTTTGTACCTCTATGGCTCCCGTATCCCCGAACGTGATAGTCAGGTTTCTAGGCCTTCTCTTTGACCGTAGGTTATCCTGGAAACCTCTCATTACCTCTCTGAAGGCAACTTGTCACAGCTGGCTGAACCTTCTTAAAACCCTTGCTCGTCTTTCCTGGGGAGCTGATCATCGAACTCTGCTTCACCTACATTCAGCCCTCATTTTATCGAAACTCTATTATGGTGACCAGATTTATTCAGCTGCCTCTCCTGCTACTCTCTCAAGCCTTAACCCCATCCATCACCAAGGATTACGTTTATGCCTTGGTGCTTTTCGCTCTTCCCCAGTTGAGAGCCTCTATGCAGAAGCGAATGTTGCATCCTTGTCTGATCGCCGTGATGCCCATTGCCTTCGCTACTATGTACGCTCTCACGATCTCCCCAATCCTTCCATTTATAGAATGGTCACCGATATTAGTAGACATTCTTTATTTGCTCGCCGCCCCTGTTTGCTCCATCCCTTTTCTCTTCGCCTACATTCGTTCTTGTCTTCCCTTCAGTTACCACCTTTAAATGTTCATGTAGCATCTCACTTTTCCCTACCCTCCTGGGAAGTTCCAGCTGTTCAGGTCTGTTCTTTCTCACTCCCTTGCTCGAAAGCCCAACTGCCTATGGTGGCTTCCCTCTCTCTTTTTCTTGATCACTTCCACTCTGATTCTCATGCCATCGCTGTGTACACAGATGGCTCTAAGTCTTCAGACGGCATCGGATTCGCAGCAGTGTTTCCGGACAGCGTCGTGCGAGGGCATTTACTATCTTCGGCTAGCATTTTTATGCCATTCTTGCAGCACTTATACGTATCGCATCTATGCCTGTGTCATCATTTGTGGTAGTCTCAGACTCCCTTAGTGCTCTACAGGCTATACGAAAATTTGATGCACCTCACCCCCTAGTTCTCTGTATCCAACTTTCGCTACGCCATATCTCTACCAAGCATAGATATTTTTTTTTGTTGGGTCCCTGGTCATGTCGACGTACAGGGCAATGAACAGGCAGACACTGCTGCGCAGTCAGCAGTACATGACCTACCAATTTCCTATAGAGGTGTTCCATTTCTGGACTATTTTGCTGTAATAGCTACCCACCTTCACACCCGTTGGCAACAACGTTGGTCAACTCTGCTCGGGAACAAACTTCATTCTATTAAACCGAGCATAGGTTACTGGCCGTCTTCTTGTCATAAGTGTCGAGGTTGGGAGACTACTCTCTCCCGCCTTTGCATTGGCCACACTCATCTTACTCATGGGTATCTCATGGAGAGGCACCCTGTTCCTCTCTGTGAGCAGTGTCAAGTTCCAGTATTGATTAGCCACATTCTGTTAGACTGCCCTCTCTATCAACGAGCACGCAGAATTTACCTCCAACGTCATCTCCGCTCTACTACTCTCTCTTTACCTTCCCTTCTTGCTGATAGACCCTCCTTTAATCCTGACTCTCTCATTGACTTCTTGACAATGACTGATTTACTCCACAAACTCTGATGATACCTTTCACACTCCCCTCAGCCCTTTCTACCTCAATCTCTTGCTGCCCTCTATCCTTTCGCCATCCACTGCCCTGCTGCTCTCCGTAACCTATTACTCATCTATCTCCCTTTTGCCACCTGATACCCTCGCTTCCTTCCCGCCCTGCAGCGCTGTATAGCCCTTGTGGTTTTAGCGCTTCTTTTTTATTATAATAATAATAATGCAGCATTTAGTAACTTATCTATTCCATATAGTACTTGCAACATCTGCCACATTGCTCCCCTATCCACTCTATCATATGCCTTTTCTAAATCCATAAATGCAATAAAAACTTCCCTACCTTTAAATACTGTTCACATGTATGCCTCAATGTAAACACTTGATCTACACATCCCTTACCCACTCTAAAACCTCCTTGCTCATCCGCAATCCTACATTCTGTCTTACCTCTGATTCTTTTAATAATAACCCTACCGTACACTTTTCCTGGCATACTCAGTAAACTTATTCCTCTATAATTTTTACATCTAGGTACCTTTCTCTTTCATACATTTATTAAACAAAAATACCAACCACTCCAACACTATATCCCCCCTGCTTTTAATATTTCTATCATGATCCCATCAGTTTCAGCTGCTTTACCCCCTTTCATTCTGTGTAATGCCTCACGCACCTCCCCCACACTCACATCCTGCTCTTCTTCACTCTTAAAAGATGGCATACCTCCCTGGCCAGTGCATGAAATTACCGCCTCCCTTTCTTCGTCGACATTTAAAAGTTCCTCAAAATATTCTCGCCATCTTCCCAATACCTCCATCTCCCCATCTACTAACTCCCCTACTCTGTTTTTAACTGGCAGATCCATTTGTTCCCTAGGCTTTCTTAACTTGTTTGAGTCACTCCAAAAATTTATTATTATTTTCATTCAAATTTCTTAACAGTGCCTCGCCCACTCTATCATCTGCTCTCCTTTTGCACTCTCTCACCACTCTCTTCACCTTTCTTTTACTCTCCATACCTTTCTTTTACTCTCCATATGCATACTCTATTCTTCTTATAACACTTCTGCTTTGTAAAAACCCTCTCATAAGATACCTTTTTCTCTTTTATCACACCCTTTACTTCATCATTCCACCAATCACTCCTCTTTCCTCTTGCACCCACCCTCGTATAACCACAAACTTCTGCCCCACATTCTAATACTACATTTTTAAAACTTTCTAAACCCTCTTCAACTCTTTCCCCCTCCCCCCCCCCCCCCCCAACTACTCATACTTGCACCAGCCCACCTTTCTGCCAATAGTTGCTTATATCTCATCTGAACTTCCTCCTCCCTTAGTTTATACACTTTCACCTCCCTGTTACTTCTTGTTGCCATTTTCCTCTTGTCCCATCTATCTCTTACTCTAACTGTAGCTACAACTAAATAATGATCCGATATATCAGTTGCCCCTCTATAAACCTGTACATCCTGGAGCCTATCCATCAACATTTTATCCACCAATACATATCTAACAAACTACTTTCATTACATGCTATGTTATATATCTTTATTTATTTATCCTCGTTTTCATAAAATATGTATTACTTATTACCAAACCTCTTTTGTACACACAGCTCAATTAAAGGCTCCCCATTTTCATTTACCCCTGGCACCCCAGATTTACCTGCTACTCCCTCCACAATATTTTTACCCACTTTAGCATTGAAATCCCCAACCACAAGTACTCTCACACTTGGTTCAAAACTTCCCATGCGTTCACTCAACATTTCCCAAAATCTCTCTCTCTCCTCTACACTTCTCTTCTCTAGGTGCATATACGCTTACTATAACCCACTTTTCACATCCAACCTTTATTTTACTCCACATAATCCTTGAATTAATACATTTATAGTCCCTCTTTTCCTGCCATAGTTTATCCTTCAACATTATTGCTTCTCCTTCTTTAGCTCTAACTTTATTTGAAACCCCTGACCTAATCCCATTTATTCCTCCCCACTAAAACTCTCCCACCCCCTTCAGCTTTGTTTCACTTAAAGCCAGGACATCCAGCTTCTTATTCATAACACCCACAGTCATCTCTTTCTTATCATTCACAAAACATCCACGCACATTCAGACATCCCACTTTGACAATTTTCTTATTCGTTTTAGTAATTATTAAAGGAAAAGGGGTTACTAGCCCATTGTTCCCAACATTTTAGTCGACTCTTACAACATGCATGGCTTATGGAGGAAAGATTCTTATTCCATTTTTCCATGGATATAAAAGGAAAAGTAATAAGAACAAGAACTATTAAGATAAAATAAAAGAAAACTCAGATGAGTGTGTATAAATAAACGTGTACATGTATGTGTAGTGTGACCTAAGTGTAAGTAGAAGTAGCAAGACGTACCTGCAATCTTGTATATTTATCAGACAGACAAAAGACACCAGCAATCCTGCCATCATGTAAAACAATTACAGGCTTTCATTTTACACTCATTTGGCAGGGCAGTAGTACCTCCCTGGGTGGTTGCTGTCTACCATCCTACTACACTAATGTTATCAAACTATATTATGTATATGTACAGTATATTGATCTATTAAGGTTTTCACTCCTTGTGGCAGGCCATTCCCCTGGTGGTGGGGCTGGTGATAGTGGTTGGCACAGCCATTCTCACCAAGCTTTACCTTTCCAAGAAACGTGGGCCACCTCGCACCCTCCAGGATCCTACTGTGAAGTACCCATTAGAACTAATTGAACGAGAAGAGGTCTCTCATGACACAAGGCGTTTTAGATTCAAATTGCCATCACCTGATCATGTTTTAGGTAAACGTTGAATAGTTTTTTTTAATGTCCTTGTTTTGCTTGGAAAATAAAAGTATGATTTTCTTGCTGTTTTATTACTGATAAGGCTCAATGCTATATATTGCATGTATGTTATACTGTACTACAAATAGAATGTGTAACGAATATTTCTTGCCTTCCTGCAACTTAGGCTTGCCTGTTGGTCAACACATATACCTCTCAGCTCGTGTTGAGGGCCAGTTGATAGTGCGTCCCTACACACCTGTCTCCAGTGATGAGGACAAAGGATATATGGATCTTGTTGTCAAGGTAAGCAACTTTTGATTCCTTTCTCATTTATGATAATTTATCAAAGTATGATAAACTCATTTACAATAAAACGATAAACCTAAAATTGTACTGGTTATTATAGACCTAGAATGTATGTTCATGAAGGTTTAAAGACTTGCATCTCTGCAAAAGTGGCTTTCAGACACTTTATCGCAGAAATACACAAGTCTTTGGTAGGTATAATTCCTTTACTCTTCTGAATCCTCTTATCCACATTGGATATTGCTTTGTGTGTGTGTTTAACTGATTGATTATGGTTAAGATTTTATATTTCTAGTAGGATATAGTATTCTTTAAGATTTAATTGGCAACTGTATTTGTTTAGGTTGTCCCATGGTTTGGTTGTTGATAGTTGTACCATGGTGTAGCTGTTGGTTATATGGTATAGTTGTCCATGGTTCTACAATGGGGTAATTGGTGGTTGTAACATGGTGTAGTTGTCTATAGTTGCACCATAGTGTAGTTGTTCGTGGTTATTTCTTTTTTTTAAACATGTCGGCAGCTTCCCACCGAGGCAGAATGACCCAAAAATAAGGAAAACTTTTATCATTCAATGCTTTCACCATCTCTTATACATAATCACTGTCTTTGCAGAGGTGCTCAGATACAAAAGTTTAGATGTCCCTTCAAACTGCCAATATCCCAAACCCCTCTGAAAATGGATCAACTTTATTTGTCGACTGATTACGTTCAATTGTGGTGTACTAATAGAAGCTTATATCGAACATGATTTGATGAAGTGCCAGAAAGATCGGCCGAAAAAGCAAATGAAAACAGCAAAATTTACGAAAAATTGCATTTGGCAGGGCACATGGCCAAAGTGGTACTTGGAAAAGTGGTTTTGACACTTGCTGCTGATAGAACACTTCTAATTCCGTCCTTCCTCAGTCTCAAGTTCATAATAAACCTCATCTTCATTCTAAAAAAAATAGTTTCTAATTTTCATGACATTTAGGAAGATATCACCCTTGTTTACCCACATAAATCTGAAAATATTTGGGATACGTCAAAAATCGGATAGAGCATGTATAGAGCAATCATTCTTCTGTTGTGAAAATCAGGCCAATTCATTCATAAATATTGGCTCTATGACCCCAAATAGGTAAATAACCTACTTCCAAGATATAGGCCGATACGCGCGGCTGCCCAGGTACGCGGGGAAATATTTTTTCCCTGAAAAATTCGCCTTTTTAGACTTTTCGTAACCTATGAGTATTTATTACAGTTAGCCATCATCAACCTCCATTTTCTCTCGTTAAAGTGACTAGAGACTGGGTATACATGTATGGCCCTGAGATGGCTTTCGTCCATGAAGTTCTTTCCTCTCAGGCGTCATATTATGCTATATATTATTTGTTCTGGTGTACTTTTTATGTTTCTATGCTATTATTACTATATCACCTTATGTCATATTAGATCAATTGTGATAGGTAAATAAGCCTTATAATTGATATTAGCATGAGTATAGAATATTTTGTTGGCTGGTGTGTGTCCGCCATGTCAGCACTTATTCTCGGGATGTTCCTGAGTGGTTCCTAGACCATATTAGCTCCTCCCACTCTGCCATGATCTCAAATGGTGAATTTGTATTATATTAGATGTAAAGATATAAGAAAATGATAAAAAAAACACGGAGAAAAAAGCCGTGTCAGCGCGCATGCTACGCAAGGTGCTGCCACCATGCATGTTATGAATGACTATAATTCCTTGTAGAAATATCGTATAATGATGATAATTATACTAGAGTTTTGCCAGAAAGTTCAGCTATTTTTTGGTAAGAGCAACTCAGTTTTCGAATTTTTTAAATTTTTTTTTTTTATTCCGCTCACCGCACCTGTCATAGGCCCCTTAAAGTGCAGGCATTGTACTTCCCATTTCCAGGACTCGAGTCCAACTAACTGGTTTCCCTGAATTCCTTCACAAAATATTACCCTGCTCACACTCAAACAGCTCATCAGGTCCCAAAACCCATTTGTCTCCATTCACTCCTATTTAACACACTTAAACACATTTGCTGGAAGTTCAAGCCCCTCACCCACATAACCTCTTTTACTCCCTCCCTCCCAACCTTTTCAGGGATGACCCCTACCCCGCTTTCCTTTCTCTACAGATTTATATGCTCTCCAAGTCATTCTGCTTTGTTACATTCTCTCTAAATGACCAAACCACCTCAAAAGCCCCTCTTCATCCCTCTGACTAATACTTTTAGTAACTCCACACCTAATTTCCACACTATGAATTCTCTGGTTATATCATGGTATAATTATTGAAGGTTGTACTATGGTGGTGTTAAATACCAGTAATTTGTAAATAAGACATGTAGTAGTAGAGTAGAACCCCCCGTATCCACTGATTCGGTTTCTGTGGTTTCAGCTATCCATGGTTTACTATGGCTTGAAAATAACCCATATTTTTGCTGAATAATGGCACTGAAGCACAAAAGTAGTGATGCTAGCAGTTCTTCAAAGCCTAAGAGAAGTCGTGAAGTGCTTATCCACGAAAAAGTGCTAATTCTTGACTTAGTGTGTACAGTAATTTATCAAACTTTTATCATAAGTGTGTAAAGGAAAATCAACATATACATAGGGCTTGCTGCTATCCACGGTTTCGAGTATCTATGGTAGGTCTTGGAACATATCCCCCGCAGATATAGGGGAACTACTGTACCAGGATATTTACTGAGATGTTTCACTCACAGCAGCCAAATATCTCCTCAATAAATATCCTAGTACTATATAACATGTCTTTTTTGAATATGATTTATTGTATGCGTGTCATGACCATTTCCCGACGGATTTTATTGACAATTTTTAATTAAACCTTTCAAGATTTACTTCAAGAATGTTCATCCCAAATTTCCTGATGGAGGTAAAATGAGCCAACACTTGGAGGCTATGAAAATAGGGGAGACCATTGATGTGCGAGGGCCATCTGGCTTATTAGAATACAGAGGACGTGGAGTGTTTGCCATTAAGCCAGACAAGAAGTCGCCATCAAATTTGGTTACAAGCAAAAAGATCAACATGATTGCTGGTAAGACTGTTATGTTAGTTTTACTCAGTTTATAACAAAACAGTTTTTTAGCTTTTAACCCTTACTGTCCAAATGTAGATCTATGTTCACTCGCCCAGCACTCCGAATATTTTTTTTTTTTTAATTAAAGAGGGCAATTTTCTGTGTTATAAGACCAAAAAAAAATTTTTAGGTCTAGTACTTACCGAGATATAAGACTGCAAAGTTGGAGCTAGATGCTCACCTGACGGCAATGTAGTCCTGCCACTTGCAGAAGTGTTGTCGATATACCTTTTTTTTTTCTCTCTCTCATTTTTATTTTAATTTATATAATTTTTATGTTCTGGTAATTACAATTTATAATAGTTCTTGTGATTTCATAGTCAGTCTTTGTTCTGACACTAATATTAGGTACTGAAATAGTACTCAAATACTGTAGTCACAATCACGTCAACAGGTGAACATTTTCACCTGCCTTGGTCATTTACTCTTGTCTAGAAATATATACAAAGTATTTACAGGTCTTGGCAATGTTTTACACATGCTGGAGTATATATGAAACTTCTTGAAGCGTGGTGGTTATGACGAGTGTCAAACTGCTGACAGGGTAAGCAGTGGAGTGATACTTGATGGTAGTGCGCTGCTGCAGAGAACCCTGGCTTTGTTTTCACTTTTACACACAAACATGTACAGTAGGGCCCCACTTATATGACAGGTTAGGTTCCAGGCTACTGCCGGAAAGCAGAACGCCATTTTTTCCACTTATAAATGTATATAAATGCCAAATGACAAGTTTACACTAACATATATAAAGTTAGCAATAGAATTTAGGCATTAAAAAATAGAAAGTAAAATACACACACAGTACACTCATTATTTACCTCAAAATATTTGTAGTCTTAATGTAGGGCAAAAGGCGAGTAGCATTTACTATAAAAAGTTAGGTGTGGTAGCCCTCCTGGCCACCCCCACCCACACATAATATACTACAACGATGCTTAAATAGTGATAAAATGCATATACAGTACACTCATTACTTAAAATATTTGTAGTCTTAATGTAGGGTGAAAGGTAAAAAGTATTTATTTATAGAAAGTGGTGTGGTAGGTAAGGTAGTGTAGGGAAGCCAGCCTTGCCACCCCACCCACAATGTAAACAAACTGACGATTCATCTGGTTGTAGTTCATAATCATTCATACAAACACTTTACATCGTGTACAAGTTGTCTCCACAGTGGTACAGTAGAATAAATAAAGACCAACACTTCCATTCTCATGTAATTTTTAGAAGCAATGATGCTCTGACAATTTTTTTTTTTCTCTCTCTCTCTCTCGACAAGTCGGCCATCTCCCACCGAGGCAGGGTGACCCAAAGAGAAAGAAAATCCCCAAAAAGAAAATACTTTCATCATCATTCAACACTTTCATCTCGCTCACACATAATCACTGTTTTTGTAGAGGTGCCCAGAATACAACAGCTTAGAAGTACAGTGGTCCCTCAATAATCGTCCATAATCCGTTCCTGGAAGTGGGACTATTATCGAAATGGACAATTTTCGAATCGATTTTCCCCATAAGAAATAATGTAAATCCAATTAATTCGTTCCAGACACCCAGAAGTATCAACAACAATTTTTTTTTTTTACCTAAAAGATAGATTTACATGCACAAAAGAATGAATATTCAACATGACAGTTACCTTTATTGAAGGCTGTTGTTGATGAATGGAAGACAGGGAGGAGGAGAGAGGGAAGAGAGGTTATTTGGAAGGGGAATCCCCCTCCATAAGAACTCTAGGGCACTAATAAAATGTACAAATGAACATTGGTAATAGGGGTAGTTGATGAGTGGAACGGTCTGCCTAGTAGTTTCAAATTTGGGTTGGATAAATACACGAGTGAAAGGGGTTGGATTTGAGTCGGACTTGCACCTGAGTTTATTGCTTGGGTAGCATTTGTTCTGTTAGTGGGTTGGATTTGTGAAGGACTGGCCTAGTATGGGCCAACAGGCTTATTGCAATGTTCCTCCTTTCCAATGTTCTAAAAGCTATGGCTTGGGTAGTTTCAAATTTAGGTTGGATAAATACACGAGTGAAAGGGGTTGGATTTGAGTCGGACTTGCACCTGAGTTTATTGCTTGGGTAGCATTTGTTCTGTTAGTGGGTTGGATTTGTGAAGGACCGGCTTAGTTTGGGCCAGCAGGCCTGTTCCAGTGTTCCTACTTTCTTAAGTTCTTATTTAACATCACACTTACCAGTAGGGTGATCAAGGCTAGGACCTTGGGTAGCTTTAAGAAGAGATTGGACAAATATATGAGTTGGAGGAGCTGAGTTTGATTTGTCATTGGGTACGGGAGTAAATTCTTGGGTATATTCATGAGATATTAATAAAGTACTGAGGGTGTCGAACCAGCAGTGACAAGTCGACTGGATTTTCAAGTGGTGACCTGTACTTAACTCTGAAGAAGTGTCTTGTGTACTCCCGTGGACTGAACCAAGATGCCCTCCATCGAGCAACTTTACCAGCAACTTAAGGAAGAATTGAGGATAGCGAAGATGGAGATATGGCGATTGACCGAGGAAAACAAGAAGATTCGTAGTAGTCCTCCTGTTTCGAGTCCTCAGGTCAAGAAGGGATCGTGGTCAGTGGCTGGACAGCAGGGGACGACGAAGTTGACGATCAAGAAGACGAATGGAAAGCCAGAAACGATGAAGAAGAAAGAGACTGCTGTGGAAACCTCCAACGCATTCTCGGTGCTACCCAACGAATGTGAGTCGACTACTGGGATCGTCAGAACGAACGACAACAAGGAAGGTAAGAATATTGTTGTTGTTGGGGATAGCCAGGTTAGATACATGGATAGGGCATTCTGTTTGAAGGACAGGAGTAGGAGACAGAGGGTTTGCTTTCCTGGGGCTGGGATGGAGGACATTGTTAGCCGACTTGACAGCATCATGAACGGTAATGGGATCAATCCTATTATTTGCCTCAGTGCTGGAGGCAATGATGTAGGCAAGCGTAGAAGTGAGGATTTAGTTAGAAAGTTCAGGACAGCTATAGACATAATTAGGAAGAAGGGGGGCACCCTGTTATATGTGGCATTTTGCCAAGAAGAGGTGTTGGTAATGAATGGTTGTCCAGAGCAATTGGTATTAATTGTTGGCTGGATAAACACTGTAAGGATAATGCAGTACCATTCATTGACAACTGGGACAACTTCTATGGCCGAAATGACATGTATGCCAGGGATGGGGTTCACTTATCCAGGGCAGGTGTGGGTTTTCTTGCTAACTCAGTTGAGGGGATTGTTAGGACTTTAAACTAGGATTAGTTAGAGGTATGGGTTTAGAAATGATAAATAATGAGTATGGATATATTGACTTATGCTCTGATATTAAGAATCTTAATAGTAACTGTCATGGAGTAACTCTGGGTAATGATAATTTCAGAAATTGTGTAAAAACAAAGATGAATAGAAAAAATGTGCAGAAGAAAAAACATATGATGGTATTTTATGCTAACAGTCGAAGTGCAAGAAATAAAATTAATGAACTACGTTTGGTAGCATGTGCTGGGAACTTTGATATCGTTGCATTAACTGAAACGTGGTATGATTTAGAGAGTCGGGATATGACTGCTGAGTGTAATATTCAGGGATTTAAGTTGTTCAATGTGGATAGATGTAATGGGAAGGGGGAGGAGTTGCATTGTATGCTCGAGAAAATATTAATTGTTGCATAAAAACAGGTATAAAAATAGATGGAGCAGTAACAGAGTCTGTTTGGGTAGAGTTTCGTGGAGGGTCAAGAAAAACTAATTCTAGGTGTAATATACCGACCTCCAGGCTTGGATCACGATAGAGGGAGACTTCTTTGGGACGAAATTGTTAGGGCTTCTGGACACAGTAACATAGTCATAGTAGGGGACTTTAACTTTAGTCAAATTGACTGGAATTCTTTGACAGGTAATCTAGAGTCCAGTGACTTTATGGAAACAGTTCAGGACTGTTTTCTGAAACAGAGTGTAACTGAGCCTACCAGGGGTAATAATTTGCTAGACCTAGTCTTGTCAAATAAGGAAACACTCGTGAATAATCTGGAGATCACTGAAGAGCTTGGCGCAAGTGATCACAAATCCATCACTTTTAGCATTAATTGGGAATGCAAGAATAATGATAATACAGTAAAAATCCCTCATTTTCATTCTGCCGATTATAATGGACTTAGGGAACATCTGTCTAATCTTGATTGGGGTTATCTAGCTAATGATTTTATTGACGATAATCATACTTAAGAATATTAAGGTATCTGCTTTTATGATTGTTTTCTTAATAATGTACACAGTGCCCAGAGTATATACATTCCCCAGAGAGAAATTAGGTCTAATAATAACGATCCCAAATGGGTTACCAGGAGGCTAAAGCATCTATTAGGGGAGAAAAGGGGAATTTATAGGTGCATCAGAAGAGGAGAGGTTAACCTTACTGACCAACATGTTCAGCTTAAAAGAGAAGTAAAAAAGGCGATTAGAAAGGCTAAACGTGACTATGAAATTAGAGTTGCTAATGAATCAAAGACTAATCCAAAGGGGTTCTTTCAAGTGTATAGGACGAAGGTGAAGGAAAAAGTAAGACCTCTGAAAACTGGGAATGGACAGCTGACGGATAATGAACTGGAAATGTGTTCCTTATTTAATGACTATTTTTTGTCAGTTTTTACACAGGAAGATGTAAATGAGATTCCAGTAATTAACAATTATTTAGTTCCTGATGAATTTAAGTTAACTAATATTACTGTCACGAGGGACATGGTTATTAAACAGATAGACAAACTGAAACAAAATAAGTCCCCGGGACCCGATGAGTTGTTTTTCAGGGTACTTGAGGAATGCAAGATGGAGCTTAGTCAGCCATTAACGAGTGTATTCAATGCGTCCATCCTTACCGGTGTTGTGCCAGAGTTGTGGAAGATGGCTAATGTGGTTCCTATATTCAAATCAGGGGATAAGTCCACTCCTTCAAATT